TAACATTATTAAGCAATGGACTTAATAAAAAAAAACAAAAAAAATGAACAGAAAGACAACAGTGACAAATGAGATGAAAAAGTACAGTAATAAAAGTGAAAGTCTTAGCGCTCAAACAAAGACAGGAACAGTGCAAAACAAATGATATATGTTAGATATTCCACAGTCTCCTGTACACCAGGCTCTGCCATGAGCCCAAACTGCTTTTCCTTCGGTTCTTTCGAAGCAGTCTGCTCTGAGCGCCTCGTCCATGCTCCTGCAGCTCCATGCTTCACAGAAAGTTATCACACACGGAGCAATCACAGCGGAGCTTCCTTGCGGCGGCGGCCGGCGTAGTTAGGGCCGGGAATATGGCTCTGAACACGGCTAAAGTTAGCTACTAACAGCTACATTCACTGCTGTCCTCAATAAACTCCCGGAGGCCGGACAGAGCTCTCTCAGGCCTCCGGGAGAGCGGCTCTGAACACGGCCACAGTCACTGCATTCACCGCTGAGCTGGTCGAACACACGAGTTTTATAAGATAATATAGTCGAATGTATACTCGTTCTTAACACACTTCTTTAGCTTTATACCTTTATAACAATGAACAACGTGTCTTAACACTTACCGTACATTCGAAAGAGTGCTCTCTTCACGTTCCAGACCGCACCGTCGACTTGAGGCACAGTATTTCCTTGAGTTTTGCGCATGCGCGAAATGCGCATTCAGTTTGTGAAGTCCCCATGTTTTGGTTGTGTAAAGAGAGTGATGATAACACCAACAACCGTTTGTGTATATATTAAGGCTGTCAAAATTATCGTTTTGACTCACGTTAATTACATTTTTTATTAACGCGTTATTTTTTTTAAATACCCGCCCATTTATCCATAAGAATATCACTCAGAATGCTGCGTGTGAGATGGCCTCCTCCGTGGCCGCTCTGGTTGTTGTTAGCGGCTGTGAGTGAGCTGCTAACTAGTTACTTTTATAGTGGAGTAACTCAGTTAGTGAGTCAATTACTTTTTGGTAGAAGTAACTAGTAACTATAACTAATTACTTTTTCAAAGTAACTTACCCAACACTGGTAATTATATTTGATAATCTCATTTAACTTCAATTGGAGTGGATTTGATATAGAATGTTAAACATGCGATTAATCGTGAGTTAACTCACCATTACTATGCGATTAATCAACTAAAAAAAATGAATCGTTTGACAGCCCTAGTATATATATATATATATAATTTGAACCGAGAATAGAACACATCTTTCATGTCATGAATAAAAATAAAAAATCCAAACTTTTGGTCTGTACTGTACATACATGAGATGAGTACACTTTCAACATGTCTTTTGTCCTATTAGATTTATTTAATTGATTTTGACATGACAAGCTATAATCAATCATGATCAAATATGTGTGTGTGTGTGTGTGTGTGTGTGTGTTTGAGCATTTACAAAATCCGGGTCTACGGTGTGCTGACCTTATCCATGGCGCAAAGTTGTGCTCCCCCTCAACCCTGATTAGCATTTGTATAGCTCACAGCATTGCCATTTACATGTTAAAGCCTCCTGTGGAGGAGGGAGGAGGGGACAACAAACTACCGTCAACAGCCGAATCCCAGAAGTTTCACAGTAATATACAGGGCCGAAAAGAGACGAAAATCACACTTTTCATGCAGTGTTTGTGTTATTATTATTATATTATTATTATCAATATCCTGTGTTTGAACTGTTTGACTCTCTAATCTGTTGTTGGTGAATCAACAACTTTATCAAGTCCACCGAGACCACCGCTGTTGTAATTTAGGCTGTATAAAAATCTGTTGAATTGAGTTGATTTGACGTTTCACTCTCAATTCAATCCATCCGAGAAGAGCAGTTAAAAGGCCCCAAGACGAGCACAAAAGATTTTGTGTTAAAAATTCTATTTGTAGTCAGTCATCAGGTTCTTGGACTTGAAAAAGAGGTTTTAATCTGTTTTATGTATTAACTGTTTTATTTTTCATTTAAAGGGAGAAAATAAGGAAAACATTATAAATGAATTAAATAAAATCCTAATCTTAATGGGATCTTTACTTGTCGTTGTTGAAGGTTAAAGGGACAGTATATATTCACTCTTGGCGGTCTCATAAAATCATTACAAATACAATCACTTCTTGTTGCTAGAATATTGCTGTGTGTGACTGATTTCTGACGCAATCGACCGGCTGGAGCTTAGCTAGAAATGGTATAAAGTCTGTGTGGTATGTAAGACTACTTCAAACACATGTGTGGTGATATTTTTTGTTTTTGAATGTCTTTATTAAAAGAGAGGGCCAAGACCACCAACATTTCCCTGAACAAACCGTCAACCCTGGAACTCTGCTTGGAAAATATAAACATAAATATAATGGATATAACTGTATCTTTAATGAATAAACCTTTTACTGTGATGCTCTTTGGGGTCTTGGTTTGTGAAAGGCAGTGTTCACAGAAAGCGTATTAACTTAAATATAGTGTGTCCACATTGGATTGTTATCTCGGGACTTGTAAAAGATGTAGTTGTAATTGAGTACGTACTGTCATGGTTACTACAGTCTTTGTTTTTTTATGAGTCTGGTTTTGGACATACAGCGAATGTTTAGCATCGCCGCACTTTCTGAATCCTGCTTCAGACGCACCTTTTCTCTTTGGCTTTTAACATCATGAAGCGAAAGAGAGAGAGAGACATGTCTTTCGTCTTTGTATTTGATGTCTTTTTCATGTTACCGTTTTAAGCAATTTGGTAAGATTATGTTTTTCAATGTTTTCTTATTTTTTAACAAACAAACAGCTCAGCGAGACAAAATATTGGTCTGTACAGCCTAAAGGGCGGCACGGTGGCTGAGTGGATAGCACTCTAGCCTCTCAGCAAGAAGGTTCTGGGTTCAAATCCCGGTTGGACCAGGGCCTTTCTGAGTGGAGTTTGCATGTTCTCCCCGTGTCTGCGTAGGTTTCCTCCGGGTACTCCGGTTTCCCCTACCACTAAAAACATGCCCACTTGATCTGGCATGCGCCTCCTGTACTGGCGCCCCTGCCCAAAAAATACCAATTGTAAACCGCTTTGAGACTCTGATGTGCAGTGAAAAGGCGGTATATAAATAAAGATTACTTACTACTACTACTACTACTAAATGGAGATGACACACAGAGAGGCGAACGTCACAATAGAGCAATAAAGCATCCCGTTTTGTTTTCCAAAAAGCCTTAACGTTGTTTATCTGTGACACAAATGTTCAGAATGTATTGTATTAGTCTTTGTCTGCACTCGACCAAAGGAATTTTAGGGCTGAATTTTCTACTTACTTTTCGAATCGTAAACATCAGTGCTGACCTTGAACTTGACTCTGGACTGTAAATATATAGATAAATACATCTCCAAGGAAACCATTGATGCAGTTCGCTTCATTCATTTCTCAGACCTTGTTCACCGCTGCTCCAACAGTGAGGACATTTAATTAGTGCTGTACAATTTTGTTAAATGATGAAATAGTGATTTTTCTGATAAACATTGCAATTGCGATTGTTTATATTTTTAAAGTATGGGTGTATCAAATTCCTATTCATTTTATAAATGTGGAAACTGTAGCATCATTTCCACCAGCCCTTTACTCTACTCTAATCGGCTCTACTTGGCTCTACACTCTTCCTTCGGGAGCGTTTCCACTGGCCCTGTTTATCTGATACCAGATCATTTGTTGGCACCTGCTTGGCCTTGGTTCTATCCAGGCCAAGCCAGGCCTTAATTTATTATTTTATTTTATTTTATTTATTAATCTTTATTAAGGACACAATACAACACGGTCCATAGTTAAAAAAAACCAAAGAAAAAATATATACAAGAAAACAAACCAAAGAGAACATTACAGCTGCTGAACAGTATAAAGGCATAACCTCCAGTAAGTCCATAATTTGGAGGTGAACAGCAGTGAGCAGAACTCGGGGCTGACGAGAGTCTTAACAATCACATTAATAGAGTTCCTCAGACGACACATAAATCTGAACTGAACATTTCGAAGAGATGCAGAACAAGATCGAACACCACAGTAAGCAAACATCTCACTTGCGCTGCTGTGCCGAGGAACCTTCAGCAGCAGCCTCAAGGAGTTGTTATAGGCCACAGTGAGTTTCTGCAAACTGGACTTTTTAAAACTCTTCCAAAGGTAAGCAGTGTACATAGGTGAGCAGTAAGATTTAAAAAGAGTTACCTTTACCTCAGGAGAGCACATACTAAACTTACGTAGCAGCATAATTTAAAGACAGGCCAGGCCTTAAATTAAGAATATATATTCTCAGTGTCCGTAAAACAATGGGAGTTGGAACAAGGTTGAATGATGTTTTTCTCTAGTGAAAATAAAGCAGTTTCTCACAAATATGTAATTTGTAAAAAAAAATCTAATTAAAGATACATTTTCCAAGATTTGAGGGTATTTTTGTCCCGTTTTTTCCTTTTGTTCACAATGGCTTACATAAATGCAGTTTTCGCGATCACTAAAATGACAATTCATATTAATTACAATACAATACAATACAATTTATTCTTGTATAGCCCTAGGTCACAACAGAAGTCGTCTCAGAGGACTTAACAAAACCATTGAAATCACCAACACAGGTCAGAGAATCAACAGTTAACACATGGGGAATATAAAGCACACACAGAAGAAAATGTCCATACATGTTGTAGAATGCTAAAGTGTCCTGATCATCACCAATCCTTTCTGTTGGACACTAACTGTCCAACAAGACCCTCCTGCATCGACAAGGAAAAACTCTTAAAAAACCTAGTGGGAAAAAGTGAGAAACCTTGGGGAGAACTAGGGAAACCCACAGGGAGGGAGACCCATATGAGAAAGGGATCCGCTCCTCCGGACGGACAGGCTAATGATCCAGGACCTAAGCTAGCTACAGAACGTGGACCAGTGGCCGCTGAACATGGACATTGCACAGAATGAAAAAAACAGTAACATTTCTCTGGTCATCTCCTTTATTCGTGTGACAGCGTGCGGTCGGCTGATGAAGATCACAGGCCCTCAGACCGTGAAGACCTCTGGGACCAGATTCGGAGCCTGGATGACCGATCCCATGGTCTCCCTCAAAAACAACAGGGTAAGCCCGGTTCATGAAGTCATCTGTCTGACCCCATACCTGTATGGGGTCAGACAGGATTCGAATTAATGAAATAAATAAATACAGAGATTAAAACATATGATCTTATGAAATATGTAAAAGAAAAGAGCGTCCTCCAGAGTGAAGATCCAGACGATACTATTGCAACAACACATCATCAGTAGGGTAAAACTAACCTGTCTCACGACGGTCTAAACTCAGCTCACGTTCCCTATCAGTGAGTGAACCGTCCAACGCTTGGTGAAGTCTGCTTCACAATGATAGGAAGAGCCGACATCGAAGGATCCAGACGCAAGTGCTAGTTACCATAGCAATACACTGCTTGCTTGTCAGTAGTTAGCATTTTTAGCACTCATTAAAAGTGAGTAAAGGTAAAAATTGGTATGAATTGTCAAATTTTAATAAAAGTAGTAAATACTGTTTTTACTATTTTATCATGATCTAGTGGTTTCAGAATTCTGGGAGATGAAATGTTAACGTGGAAGGAGCCAGTAGCGGGACAGTGTGCAACAACATGATGGCAATGGTCTCAGCCAATCCGCAACGCAGCAGGCGCCAACACTAGACAGCAGAAAGGATCCAAAGCTGCTGCGTCAGGACAGAGCTCTCTCCAACAAGAGACAAAGGCTCATTCTCACATTAATTCACTTCTACTGCACTGGTGTAAAGCCTGCAGATTCAACTGTATGATGGCCATAGCGGTGCACTCTGGGGACTTTTGCACATTTTGCTGAAAATGGCAAATAATCTGAATCTGAATCTGATACATAAAATCCTCTGTAATTAGTATTTCCCCTATGACATGATTTTCAAGATAACATAAAATATTCCTTTATTCATCCCACAGTGGGGAAATTTCAATGTCATTGTTGCGCACATTACAGCAGAGAAATAAGGAAATAAGAGAACTCAGATTGCACACATCAAACAGAGTAGATTATTTAAGATAATAGACAATAGAATTAAAATAATGAGATAATACAACAATACTACAATAGAATAAAATAAAATAAAATAAACTCTGGAGCTATAATTGCCCTTGGTTCAAGAGTATTTACAGATGTGTATATTGTACTTTAGATTCAGATTCAGATTCATTTATTTGCCATTTGCAGTAAAACCACATTGGAAAATCTGTGCAAGACTACCCCAGTGTGCACCAGACAGAGGCGGCACACACCAGCAGCGGAGAATATGAGCAGAATAAACAATAAAAGCAGTAAAGTGACTTTAGTGAATGACAGAAATATCAGATGGATGGATTTGTAATAATGCAGTAATAATAACAATATTACTAATAACAATTACCTTTGTCTCCTCAGGTCTGGTACATGGACAGTTACACCAACAACAAAATCGTCAAAGAGTTCAAATCCATTTCCGATTTTGTGTCCGGCGTGGAATCCCGGAGCTACAACTTGCCGTTCAAATGGGCCGGTACCAACCACGTGGTGTACAACGGTTCTCTGTACTACAACAAAATGCAGAGCAACATCTTAGTGCGCTACAGTTTCGACAGCGGGCGAGTGGTGACGCAGCGAGCTCTGGAGTCAGCCGGCTTCCACAACGTCTATCCTTACACCTGGGGCGGCTTCTCCGACATCGACCTCATGGCGGACGAGATCGGACTGTGGGTCGTCTACGCCACCAATCAGAACGCAGGGAACATCGTCATCAGCCAGCTCAACCCGGACACGCTGCAAATCCTGGAAACGTGGAACACAGAATACTCCAAAAGAAACGCGGGGGAGTCTTTCATGATTTGCGGGACGCTGTACATAACCAACTCGCATCTTACCGGCGCGAAAGTTTACTACGCCTACTCCACCAAAACCTCCACGTACGAGTACACGGACATCCCCTTTCATAATCAGTACTTTCACATGTCGATGTTGGACTACAACGCCAGGGACAGGGCGCTGTACGGCTGGAACAATGGCCACCAGGTTCTCTTCAATGTCACGCTTTTTCACATCATTAAGACTGAAGATGATTCGTAAAAAAAAAAACAAAAAAAAAGTGTCTTTTTTTTGTCTGAATGTCCACTTTTTCATTAAGCGGTGCTCTGATGGGGCTGTCTGAGGTTAGAACATGGGAGCTCACGGTAAAAAGTGATGAAAAATGAGGTAAAAATTGCTCAAATTTGGCAAAAATGTGGCTTCATTTGAGTATATTCTGACTGCACTAAAACAAGATTTGCCAATGGGACAAAGCCAAATGATCATGTTTTTAAAAAGATGCTAAAAATGTTTCCCTTGAAATGAGAAAATACATATTAAAATAAGACTGAATGGCTTTGGCCCTTTGGCAAATCTTTTTTTTGTCAGAATGTTATCGTGTAAAAGAAAAAAAAACACAAAAGCAATATTTTTCTCATATTGTTTTTTGCAGTGTTGCGCTTTCACATGTCTTCAGTAAAACATTTCCAAACAGTTGCATTAGGACCAGGGATGCACCGATTCGATACCGGCCTCGGATATCTGTGTTGATAATTGTACATTCTGTTGGATAAGATAAGATGAGATTGATTTTATTGATCTCACACAGGAGAATTGTTCAATCTGGTATAGGACAGATCTGGTATCTGACAAACACAAACAAAATATAAGCCTAGTCAAGATATTGGCTGAACCCGATATCACTCTGAGAGTGATATCGGGTTCAGCCAATATCTTGACTAGGCTTATATTTTGTTTGTGTTTGTTTGTTTGTTGAAACAGAATCAATTCTGATCAAAAGGAGTAGGCTGAAACAAAAAGCTTATATCACATAAAATTAAAAAAATACAGAACAAGGACACAAAAGCACACAAAGGGACAACAACAACAGTCTTGGTTAAGTCAGATCTCCACAAAGTGATTTCATGATTGTTACTGAAACAAGAGTACTGATAATTACTGGCTTGTCAGTTAGTGCCCAATATTAGCCCAGAATGACATATACAGTGGGTTTAACTTTCACTCAGACAATGTTGTCGTTACTAGAGGTATAATTGGGCCACAATGGTATTTTATACATTACTTTAACGCTATCTTTCCAAAGAAAACATTTTAAATAGTTTTAAATATTGAACCACTGAACTATACAAAACAATCTGTCAAGTAAGCCTTTCTCTCTTTTGGTCCAGATTTGGTTCAGTGTGTTCAGAAGGTAAATGCTGAAAAGAAATGTTAAAATACCCAAATAATTTAAAAACAAAAAATTATAAAAAATAATCAAATGCAAAAAGAGTTTTAAACAACATCCCACAACTGTCCAGAAAATGAAAAACCGTGGTACAACAGAAAAACCACAAAGCAGTTTTGGCCCCATCCAAATGGGTTTGGCCTTGGAGTATCACTGATTTACAGGATCAACTGCGAGGTTAAAACACAAATGGACAGATTTGTTAAACAGGTTATCTGAGATTTGAGGGGAGAAAAATGCTGTATGCAGTTCCTTCACTGGGAATCGGCAGAAACTGAAGCCAAAGTAACAGGATTCTGGTTTGACAGTCACGTATTGATGCATCCCTGATTAGGACAGTGCTTGAATCTGATGATGTGGGTTTGCTTCGAATCTATGTAAGGCTTTGCACCCAGACTTAAAGATCAGCAAACATTTACATTATTTTATTTCTAATCATTCAATGGAGAACAAACCGCAGTTTGACCGCCGCTAATGCTAAAAATGCAGCCTCTTTGCTCACTTTCTTGTTTACAGAAGTATGTCAGTACCTTATTTTGACTTGGATGCTTCTCTGTGTGTCATTTCTCTCCATTCAGACATGACTCTACAAGACCGAGACACAGGAATATGATGTGCCTTTTTATTTCGAGGACAATTCGATCAATAATAACATCATTCAATCAAGAGAGAACAGGTCCAGTCTCAACTCTGAGAGCACGTCCTGTTTGTATTGCACCAGCAACAGAAACAGGACAGGACATGGACCATGGAGACCAGAGAGAAACCAGAGAGAGAGACCAGAGAAGGAACACAGAGAGAGACCAGAGAGAAACCAGAGAGAGAGACTAGAGAAGGACCACAGAGAGAGACCAGAGAGAAAGACCAGAGAGAGGCCCCTGAGAAACCAGAGAGACAGACCAGAGAAAGAGATAAGAGAGACACAATTTTTAGCTAGAATAATTGGTGCCCTTTTATTTCAAGACAAATTTGATCAAGTCCCCAGAGAGAGACCAGAGAGAGATCAGATAGAAACCGGAGAGAGACACATGTGTTAGCTAGAAATGTATATGTGCTGTGCCTTTTTATTTCAAAACAAATTTGATTTAAAAAAAAAAAAAAAACTTCCACACTATGGTTTCAAGTGTTTCTAATTCAATTATGTTTGATCTAATTGGATACATTTAATGCCATGCCATCCCATCTACTGTATTTTTATTTTTTCCTGAGCCATCTACAATCACTTTTATACATAAATACATGTTATAATGTTACTTCTAACCTGTTCTTTGGCTGGATGAAAAGAAGAGAAGGTGTCCAGAAAGACTCCACACGGGTCACCTTTTGTGTTTTGTTGAGAACCACACTGCAAAAACTGATGAAAAGTAAGTAAACAATTGCTCAAATTTGGCAAGCAATTATTACCTCATATTTTATCATATTTTGCATCTGTTTACACAGTGTATTGGAGGTGTGTTGACTAATGGTGATATGGTGCTACAGTATTCTTTATGTATTCAAACCAGTGTACATCTGTCACCATGAAAAGACTTGGTGGATAAGACGATACGTACTTGATGATACAAATGGCTTCTAACCAATTATAAGTACAATTGGACCTATTATTTTAAGCGGTGTATTACAGCATACTTCTTGCTAACAGCTACTGTACATCATCACCAGTCATTGCTGTGATGCTTTTAGCATGGTTTTCTCCCACTTACCAACAGGAGAGTTCTTTTGTGAATGATTCCTCATCCTTCAATCAGCGATATCCTTCTCTGTTCACTGCCGCCATTATACAGCCATTTAAATCCATTTTGTGATTGCTGCTATATCAGCACTTTGTTGTAATGATGTTTACAGTAACACCAATTTTCTATTTGGATTATATTTCAATCAATAATTTTAAATCAATTTTAAAAGCACAATATATCTGTAATTAATTTCATTCAATTCAGTTATATATATTTTTTTAAAGACCTAAATTACAACAGCAGTCGCCTCAGAGGACTCTACAAAGTTGTCGATTCACCAACAACAGATCAAAGAATAAAACAGTTCAAACATAGGAAATAACAAACACAAAAGAGCCATTGGTGCATCGGGACCAATATCCATTAATGTTAATAAATGTCCATAAATTTCCATAAATGTTCTAAATTATAATAATAATAATTATATAAAAATATAATAATCAATACCAGATGAGATCCTCCTGCCACTGAGGGAAACCTCCGCTCCCGGACAGGAAGGGTTTAGATCCTGGACTCAGGCTCTAGACCAAGGAATGAGGCTGTGCGGTGTCGGACTGAAGAGGCTCCCAGGCAGAGATGTAATTATGTCTACTATCTAGATTCACACTCAGTTTGTTTCTATCGTGGTTTATTGCATGCATATAGTTTTTTGGCCTCTGTCACATTTATAGTAAAAAAAAAAAAAGGAGCACCACCAAAGTGTGAAGTGTCTTGCCTAATGACACAACAACAGTCTGACCGGTGGCAGTCGCAGCCGCTCGCCTGTTGAACCTGGTGTTCCCAGAGGTCTCCCACCACAGTATAAACCAGGCCCTGCCCTGCTTTGCATCGGCTGCTCAGGATCTGGCTTTCACATGCAGGTGGCGCCACACATTTGGTCTGATTAGTTCACAACATTTTACTTTAGGAAAACTCTTTCTTTTGGGACAAACATTTATATATCGAGGTAATCCAGCTTTAAAATGTCATTCAAGTTGTTTGGTGAATCATCACTTTGTAGTAAAAAAAAACAAAAACATTTTACAGCCCAACTTTTTCATTGACAATTTACTACGAAGAACAATAGGCCACTCTCATTTAGAAATAATTAGAAAGTTGTTTTATCTGAATGACGGCACTTTAAAAAACATTTTGTGGCTTATTTCACTAAACACTGGGAGATGCATTTACATTCCACGTGTGACTCTGTAAAGGATATTCTTGTTCTCTTCCTTTCCCTATTTTTCACCACTTTCCTGTACTTTATACGGACTTTTTCTTCGCTTTCAACTTTACTATTCCGAAAGTTATCAGGACGCGACCTTGTGAAAGATAATGGCAACAGGGATGGACCACTTTGTACCTGTAGAATAATTACATTTGGCTTCTTTGAGTTTTGGGCCAAATCTGTTTCATCGAGAGTTGTACAATAAATGAGGATACATCTGAGAATAGAGCGTTTTATTGCACTTATTTTGTATGCCTTACAGAGAGTTTCTTTTAGCCAAAGCTGTTGTGCATGAATGTCTGTGAATAGCATTTCTACACCATGACTGTTCTTTGCTTTTGCACAAAATGTAATTATTCATTCAAAAGGAAATGGTTTGTGGACATGGATTCATTCATTAACATGTGGTGGAAGTAGCATCTGTAAACATAATTCAATAAAGTATTGTTTTATTATAAAAACATGGGTTGTATTTGACTGGAGTCCGGACCGTGCAGTGACTACAAGACACGTGGGAAATGAATGCTCAATGTGTTTGTTTAGTAAACAGAATGAAAAGGATGTGGGAGAACAAAGATAATCTATAATACATTCTGCTCAGACTGCCGCCCTCCAGACCCGGCAACGGATAAAGTGGAAGAAAATGGATGCATGGATTCTGCTGAAGTTGAGATTACATTATACTCAGCACATTGTTCAAACCTATCTACATTTTATGTTTTTAACATGAAAAAGACCTTTTGAATTTTTATAAAACATATGTATGTTTGTAAAAAAATAATAATTAATATATTTGTTTATTCTACTTTTAATTCTCTCAGTAGTTAATTACTTACTCACTAGGAATGAATAGATTTTTTTAAATTAAAGT